AAATATTTTATATAATCAAACAAAATATATTTTTTTTTAAAATAAATATATTTAATTGCAAAAAAAATATTCCTAGAAATTATTTCTTTTTGCGAAATATAAGGGAATTCATGTGATCTTAATTTAATTATATTTTTGATAATTTTTGTGTTTTTTCTTGTGATTAAATTAGATTTAGGTATCTATTTATATTTAGGGTATATATGTTTTTTTATGTTTTCAATTCGGGGGAAATTAAATTTATTGTAATTATTTTCTTATCAATAATTTCGAAAAAAAAATATATTACATTATATACACAGATTACATTACAGTACATTGCATTGCATTGCATTACATACAAACATTACATTACATACAGACATTACATTACATTACATTACATTACATGACATGACATGACATGACATGACATGACATGACATGACATGACATGACATACAAACGTTACATTACATTACACACAAACATTACATTACATTACATTACATTACATTATATTATATCACATGACATGACATGACATTACACTACACACACACATCATACACGTACACACACACACACCCCTATATTATATTATATTATACTATACTATATTATTATATTATATTATATTGATTATATTAATTATATATATATATGTATGTATACATTCATACACCGACATATCCAACTTGAGCAACTTTTCAGAGACTACATCGAAGTCTGGGAAGGGTTCCAAATTGATACCTTGGATTATTTGCGCAAGGTCCAAACATCTAATTGTCCAAGCCAAAGCAAAGACTTCTATCTACTGTGTGCACATCCAAGGACAAATCGGAGGAAGGCAGACACAGTTACTTGGTCAAAAGTGTCAATACGCGCTTAGCGCGTGGACAATGAGGTGGCCCTGAAGGTCCGATTTTTTTGCGCATCTCGTGCAAAATTCTGAACGCAATGCAAACAATACTTCGCACCATCACAATTCGCTGTGGATATCACATCCGATCCCCTGCAATCTTGTGGCTTTGGGGGTCAACATAGGATTGCTGTAGCAGGGTCCTGCCCTGTCCCTTGCGCCAAATGGCTACGTGAACTGAGACAGCTTAGCCAGCAGCAAGCTACGAGTATTGGCTGTACCCCCCCAGGGTTTCCAAGATTCAGAAATTCAGAGGCAAAGGCAAAACGAAAAACACGAGGGGAAAGCTCTTTCAAATGGCACCAAACTACACGACACGCCAGCACGTCCCAAGAATGTCTCAGAAAAGTGCTGAAGTGATGGTCCGTGTGATGGGAATATGATGGGATCGGCCACTTTTTCCTCTCTGCCACTACCATAGTTACTGGTCTTTCTTGTCTGTGACACTGTCGACTCCAGTTCGCTTCTCGATGAGAAACAGGTGCCAACCAAACTTGCTCTCAAAAGGTCCCACGACCTCCCCGACCTCACTCTTTGACCAGGTGATTGAACCGCGAGACATGTTCCATGCGCGAGACTGTTTGCCAGTGCACTTCAGCTCGGTGTGTCCTACGTTTTACATCTGCATCTGCCATTTAAATTGTTTATGACATTTCGACCCCATGATTTGCATAATTTTTTTACAATCACATGATGATGTCACATTGTCACATGCCTCAAAATCCATACCTCCCACTCCCCAACATCGACATCGGCCAGGAACTTTGGTCTTTGGGTCGTAGGCCACCTGGTCGAAGAGCGCGTTGGCTTCACCCAAGAGCTTCATGCCAGGCTTCATGGTTCCCAGCACTCCTCCCAGCTGGCCCTCAGGTGATGTGCTCACCTGCCACTGGCGAAATCTGCTCACTTGACAGGTTCTGAACTCAGCAGTAACGCCATTCCCTGGGGACTCTGCGTATTGTGAGACGCAGTGGAATTGGGGTGGGGTGGGGTGGGCAGTAGCCTTAGGTTCATGCTGCGCACATTACTGATGCTACAAATGTCATGACAAGTGTCATGCTTCTGTCATATGTGCTTCACGACATGATGCTACGCCGGCGACGCCGGCGCTACTTTGTTGCTGTCGTTTCCATGCTGATGCCAGGTGGATACTACGTTGATGCAACGGTGCTGGTATAGTGTCGCTACAGGCATGCCACGCTGTTTGGAAGTTGACTTGCGCTTCCACGCCCTTATGCTACCCTAATGTTACGCTGCAGGTACGTTGGCAACGGGTTCTACACGGCTTAGTTCATTGTCTGGTGGGTGGAGGCTTCCCAGGGGTGTTAGCAGCAGAGTCTCAATTGAATTGTTCAATCTAATCTTTAGACTCTGAATCTCCAATCTTTAGATTCGCTTTTTCATCTTTTTCATGCTTATTCTCATCCATGGTTTCTGTGCTACTTGCCTGGGTTGAACACCTGCAATTCTTTCGATTTCTTTGGACCTTTCCATCTTTTGTGGAGAAGCAACTTGACAGTGAATAACACATTCACAACTGAAAAACGCATTGCATAGAACTTGATAAAAACTGCAAGTGGCGGCCTTGAAAAAAGTGTGTTGAGCAGGTTGACATGTCATGGAACACAATCACCACTGTGCAAACGGTACACAGTCCCCACGGGACCGCGTGACCTAATTTAGGTATATTTAGGTTCTGTTTTGCTGGCCATGAGCCATGTGTTAGACCACTTCAGACTGCAGCTGCAAACAGCTGCTGTGCCAACATCTAGTTAATCTAGTTTCTCTACCCCTGTGGGTAGCCAAGAGTTTGATATGGTGTATAAAAATTATTCAGGATGGTTTAGGATGATGTATACAGGATGATTTAGGCCGGTGCTGGCAAGGGCCAGGGCTCCCTTTGCTGTGCTTTACTTGCGGTGCTGGCATTTCAGATTCCAAATAGATTTTGTTGTCACACAGTTCCACTTCAGATTTCTTGCGATGCTTCACTTGGCAGCTGACACCTCTCAACACCCGTGCGATTCCCAAGCCTCCTTGGCCACCTTCCTGAACTCCTCGCCAGCCTGTCAAAAACAGGGAACCTACACTGACCTACACAACCAACCCAATCGGAGCAGCTGCATAGAATTTCAACCCCATGCTTCCGCAAAGCAGCCAGTTTCTGTACAAAACCCAGGCCTTGACACGTTTCTTTGCGGCTAGAGCATCTTTCTCCGCTTTGGTCACAATCTGGCGTGCCTGGCCAACACAATGCTACGTAACAGTTTGCACATGGACATTCGCGAGTCCGTAGGAACGATGGTGCAGAATGCCTAGAAAAGTGATGTCCAGTGTCCACTGTGGCATTGGATAGCCAAGCGTGCGGTCACGGAACATTTTTCCCAAACTGCGCTCACACCAAGCCATCTAAACATGGGAGAGAAACTAAATCAAGGAACATATCGAGCACACAAACCTGGAAATCACACAGCACGATCTTTGTGCCAATGGCCCGAACGCCTCAACCGTCTTTGAATCATCGACCTTGCTAGTCTCACCCTTCCGCAAGAACTGGTACAACACGTTGCCGCAAAGCATAACGATGAGCAATAAAATAACCTGACAACTGACTGCTGCAAGATTGCAAGACACTTAGATACCGCTAGATACCGCTAGCCTCAAGACCACAACTGCCAACGAAGTGGTGCAAGCTGCACAAACGCGCGCAGACTGGTTTGGACAGGCAAGAAACTCCTGGAACTGGAAGACCTCCGACTGTGAACATAGGAGCCTTGAGAAAATCCACGTAGGCCTGGGCGATGCGCAAGGTGTCGCAGCACTTGTCAGCGACTTCCTGAACAGTTATATATAGACTTTCGTAAAGTATGAACAGGCTGGGGACAAGCACAGCCAATCCAAGGAAGCTGGAAAGATCTGGAAAAATCCCTAAGCTATGGAGGGTTTGGTGCTTATTTTGTGCTTGTTGCGGGGAGATGTTCATGGTTCAACAGCAAGACCCCTCTGCCTCTGCTGCCTGCCGCCATACTGCCATTGCGGAATGCATTGCGGACTCCATGGCTGCAAAAGGATGGGCGTGTGAATTTTTGTTCAGGGTGAAAGGCAACAAATTTCAACAAAACTATATATGATTATATAATATTATATATGGATAATGCTTGGCATTTTTCCTTCTTGGAGAGATGTGGAGAGCTTGCTACTGGTTTTACTTCACCAACACATTCCACGGGCTTGACTCCTGGCAAACAAGTATGGCAAGGCTCCGGTCATGAAACACCGCATGCCCCACGTGACAAAACGGTAGTAGGAACACTTGCAAACCGTATCAATATGCTGCTATGCTCACCGGAAGTTGAAGCGACCTTCAAGAAAGCATTGAAGAACCACTGCTGATCACTGCTGGATCTGTCTCATACTTTTCCAGTGGGCATAGTTTAGTCGAATGACAATTCGCTGTACACGGCACGCAAATAACATTTACAAACAAATAAGATTGGGGTGAAATCCATTGAGAGGTCTGAGATGGTCTCACTTTTCTTTTGCTGCTTCGACAAGTCTCGGTGCTGTACAACTGTCGTAACGTTCAAGGGTCCAGACTCGGGCCGCAACCGAAGCAGCTGACTACGCTCCTGACAACAACGGTACGCGATGCTGTTGCAGCCGCTCGAAGCACTGACCTGGCTCTTCCCATATCTGCAGGCTTTGTGAGCCAATGCATGCCAGCACAATAACAAGACACGCTCAATGAATCTCAATGATATGTATTTGGCATGAAGCCCATGCATGTCGCTACGTATTGCTGCAACTGTTGGAACGGCATGTGCTGCGTGCTGCCAGGGTGCAACAACGCCACCTGCGCCGTGGCGGTTCTACCACTTGACGACTCGGAAGGGGAAGCATCGGAGCTGGCCGTGGCTCCTGGAGAGTCTGCCCGGGCACCCCAAAATCATCAAAAATCGATCCGATTCGATCCGTCCCAACGAGTCATGCCATGTCATGCCAGTCCTTCTCCTTGTGGTCCGTGTTGCCTCACCATGGACATGGAAAAACCAGATTTGGAAAACGGACAGCTATTCGCTGTCGTATCTGTAGCAAAGTGGAGCATGCTGCAACACTGACAGGCCTTCGATCATTCCATGTAAAGCGTTGGTTTCCTGTCCAGTCGACTGAGGAAGCACGAAAACACGCAAAACATCCACAAGCAAATACAGTATGCAGCAGTATGCACATCTCTAAACATCTACAAAAGACTCTAAAATCACAAATCACTGGCAATCATCAAAATGATCAGCTTTTGTAGCCACCCTGCCTCCATGTGGAGGCCTCCTTGGGCCTCCCCTGTCCTTCAAGTGAGATTGTGATCCCAGATAGGGTTTTGTTAATGCATTTAAAATCATTTGACATCATTAAACATCATCAAGAAAAAAAAGGAACCACAAGCCAGCTGATTCATTCTTCATGACCCTTTTCTTCTTCACATTGACATGAGAACCCTTTCAGCACTGGCTGCATGGCCTCTTGGATGACAGTTCCATGGAGAAGTCATCAGCTACTGCAAGGTCTCCTTCCACTTGCAGCCATTGAGACCCAACATAAATTGAAAGCAATTAGCCGTTTCATTTGTTTGCGAATGTTTGCCAACTGGAGTTGGTCTTGGTCTGAGCATATAGCAGGGGCCCGTGATTGCACCTGCTTCATCCCGTAGAGCTGAGTCAAGGCTTCTTGCACGAAAGACAGACGAAGCCATGGTGCCTCCACCAGGGTTTGAGGAGACCGTTGCGACTCCTGGAATGAACAACAAACCCATACCATACATATCGCAATGCAAGCACATAGATGGGATCTGAAGGTAGGGATGATGCACATTCGTGTGGTCGTTGTTGTGATGCTTGCAAGATCTTACATTGGAGTTGATTTTGTGGTGCAACTGACGGAAACGATGAAATAACTTTGTTCAAGGACTTGAATTGATGCATCGAAGCTCTGATCGGTACCACTTTGACGAGCTTTCTGGAAGCCCGAATGATCCGAATCTTCTTCACATGGATATTTCTTCATTGACCACAACGAACCACGAACCCAACGTCATTTCAGAGGAAATCCCACCTCTTGATCTGCAGGAATCCACACTTCTAGCCCGTCCGTTTGAAACTTCGCCAACATCCTGGTGATTTGGAAGGGCTTTGCCACCAGGCTGCAAAAACCACAGGGCAAGTCACAAGCCTGAACGAAGAAATTACAAGTATATACACCATTTTACACCACAAAATTCGTTGATTGACATTCGCTTTGACCCGTTTACAGACTCCTTTAGAATGAGTCAGTCTGGACAAATTGGATCCTACACCTTCATCTCCAAACGCATGTGCAGCGACGTAGAGATGTAGAGTGAGGGATTCATGGGGTTTCAGCACAGCTTCCACTACATTCAACCCTTCTTGGTGAAGAACTCCAGCTTTGTGAATTTCCTACCCACATGTTTTTTTTTCCATGTTTTTTCCGTATTTTTCCATGTGATTGTCACCTTTTCATACCTTTTCCCCTTGGGAACCCCAGCTCTGCTCGCCTCTTGGCTCCGGACTCCATGACTCATAGGCGCTGCTCGGTCGCTGCGGCTTCCTGGACATCCCATGCCGACCATCATGGACCCGTATGGACCATTGCCGGCAACAACCCATCAACATACATTACGCATCATTAGACCATATTATGACCATATTACAGTAAACATCTGAATAATGTCAATAATGTCATATTCATGTCATATTAATCCATTTTGGGCAGATTTACTCGAATTTACTTTAGCTAGTACTGTCTGCTATGACTGACTCAACTGAAAGCCGCAAGCTTTTTCATTGTTCGACATTATTATTGATGCGTAGATGCTCAAGTCATACTATTGATAGAAACCTCTCCCTCTTTCTCTTTTATCTCTACCTCACAAACGACATAATCCTTACATTGTATTTTCATGCGCGAAAGGTCGCCTTTAACTGGGTGACTCGTACTCCACCGGCGGATGCCAAGTACACGCCGCACCATGCCTGAGCTTCTTTCGGCCCGAGGGACGCGCAGCTCAGAAGGATCCTAGCAGGTTGTGGCAGCGGATCAGCGGTCCATCTTGCAGAGTCGGGCAAAAAGGTGGCAAGTCAGAGATAAGAGTTCGGTGGGGGGAAAAAAATGCAAAAACAAAAAAAACATGGCAAGAGTCCAGCTGATATACTTTTTAAATCTTTTTTCATAGCTCTCCATAGCTCATCATCTCCCCTGCCTGCGAGCTTCCACGCATCTCATAACGCTTCACGAGATTTTGCACACGGCCTGAGCCGTTCAAGCGACCTTAGTGGAGGGGACTGGCTCCGAAAGGCCTCGAAGCTCTGAAGGACTTCATTGAGCTATTGATTGAGCTGTCGGACGAAAAGTTTGCATGCCGTTTTCTGCATTCGCCACGGCATTTGCAAAGCCTTCCAGCTCTGAGGCCACAACTAGCGGAAGGAAACGCTGGAGTAGGGTCTCCATATAAACAAATGGTTTCTCCATCAACATCGTGGAAATGTAGTGAAATATAACTGGGGATTGAACTCATACTATTGTAGCATTAATTATGATTAATATATATATATATATCAGCCTGCACGAACAATGGAAAAGTGCTTCGATTCTCATGTGAAATAATAATGCTGAACAATTGTGCAACCGCATCATTCATGTGTGGGTTTCGGTTCACATTGATGATGGGGTATGGCCGAATCTGACTTAATCTTTTTGATCCCTTCCTGCAGTTGCTTTGTGAGTGCTGGCATGGCCTGCTATCTTCAGCTTTGGCATTGAACGAGCCATGGCTGGCGCAGGGACCCTGCAACGGGAGCCGACTCCGGGTGAGACACGGCCTCGTTCTAATCAGCAAGCTGCGGATGTGACCATCGAGAGCAGCTTTGCGAGATGAGTATCATGATGCCCTCGTGGAACACAGCAATGGACAACCCCGTTTTTGATTGCAACATCATCCGCAAATGCCGCAAATGATCAAACGGATAATAAGGAGTGTATATATGTGTATAATATGCAAAGGCCATTGGGCAATGAAAGCTGCAACAAGCACTTTTGCTCATTTGAGTCAAAGCCATGTCACTTCCCATTCGGGAAGCTGGCGACTCCGAAGCCAAGGCCGTGACGCTCCATCCGCCCAGACTTTGTGAGAGGTGGATCGACATATCAAGCAATGGCGGCTGGTCCGCCCAGCAAAAATGATCGCGTGGGTAACGTTGACCCACTCCTCAAGCACTCATCCTCTGTACATTTAGCCTCTTGTTTGGCCCCACCTGGCTTGCTACGGCTGCTACGGTTGAGGCTCAGGCCTTCAAAACATTTTTCCTGCACCTCCCCCGGCTGTAGGGGTGAACGCAGGACGCTCAAAAGTTCATGCCACCTATCAAATTCAATGCATCTAAGAATGCCCGTCACTCAGTGCCTTTCAGTGCTAGCAATGCTGGGACAGTTCTCTGAGTGATACACCCTGCCTTTGGTGTTGGGGTCTTGATGATGGTTTTGCAGCGGACGCACCACCAGGTCACATGGTCTGCACACTGAACCATTATTATACACATGCCTTCTTCCAGCTGCTTTCTATGTGATGTTTTCTGAACAACTTATCCTGTCAAGAAAATTAAGTCTCCAGATTTTGATGTCTGTGGCTATATCACAGGTCTTATGCCCCGCTACTCGCCTCAAATTCGTCGATGTCGTCGGGTCTCTGAGGGACTCATCCTCAGCATGTTTCAAATCATGAACGACGGCAGCAAGCGGCTGGCAAATGATGTTGAAGCCGTATGATTGTGTTGGTGCTGTATTTTCGGGCAAACAAAAAAGTAATATATTTCAAAGTAATTCATATGATATGGCTGTATAAAGTGTACGTATAGATTGGATGTTTTGCAACTACTGTATGATATGGTATGTGGGTAAATCTGTCCAAAATGTTTGTGCATCCCAGAAGTGAAGGGAAATATCATGAAAAATCATGAGCTATCTCAGACTATCTCCAACTTCCCAACAGCGCCACAAATGCGCCACAAGATGCCGTTCACTGAGGGCACCACATGTCCTCTGGACTTCTTCTCCTCGCGAAGGCCTGAGAAAACGTCAGCGTTTTTCCGTGGCACAGTTGCGGTGGACGATAGAAGGCTCCTACGGCTCCAATCGGGGCCCCTGGGCTCCGGACGCGAAGGCGCCTGCAATTGCAGCAGCCATGGTATGCCTCGCTGGCAAATGTCTTTCAGCCGGAAGCGCGATGCCATTGACAAATTCAGCCGAGCGGCCCGTAGCATCAGTAGTCCATGCACCAACTTCAACGTCACCTAGGAAAAGCCACAGGAAACGTCCGCTTGTCGTGATTATATAATTGAAACAAGCTATTCTTGCAAGATGTTTGGCTTCCAGGGACTACCAACATGTTCCTTTTCAAAGGATGTATAATAGCCGCTCTATCCATTTGTCCATTAAGGATCATTAAGGCGTGTTTGCAACGCGTGATCCTCCAATTTTTCATGCCTCCACCCATCCCGGCAGAAATGGCTCCCCAACCAGTGCGCCCAGGATGAACAAAAGATCTTCCACCTTGGCCGATGCCGGCAGCCCATCTCAGCTAGGCCGCATGGATTTTTGTGCTGTCAGATTTCTCAGGATTTCTGAGAAAATCATGGAAATCCGGAATGTTCCAAACACCCAACACCTATCATAACCCATCTTAGTACACACACACACGGATATATATATATATACATACACACACACACCAAGATGGTGGTTTTGACCGTTGTTCGCCCATCTTTGACGGTGCATGTTTCATCTCAGAAAAGGCCACAAACTGCAGCTGTCCACCAAGCCGCATAGGTGAAGTCTCCATCCAGGACAGGAAACATCTGCCCTGCCAAAGCTGCTACCACATCGAGGCCTTCCAAAATCTTCCAAAGCCGGATCGAGTCGGTTTCTCTGTTCAGCGCCTGGCTATTACGATTTCTAGGCTTTTCAAACCTAATATCAGCATTGTGAGCTGGTCCAAGAGTCCAATCATAACCGGCCACATTTGAGAACTCCATAAGAAGCTGAGGGCTTGCTCGCTCCAAAGCAACACTGCGATCCACGTTTGGATGCGCCTGCTTCACCCCAACAAGGCATTACTGCCTTGGCCACAGCCGGACCACTACGGAAACAGAAGTGCTTGGGATGACAAGCCATAGGTCCAAGGGTCCCCTGTCAGAAATGCCACAGGTCAATTTAAACAAGTAAACAGTAAACAAGTGGTTCAAAAAATGGAAAAAATGGTTCAAAACATCAAATCAAACAGCTGCAATCAGCTGCATCCAGAGCTGAGGTCACCACCCGAACAGCCACGGGAAGGCTGGGATCAGAGCACTGCGCGAAGCCTGCAAAATGAAAAAAAACTCTTTGGATGCGAAAAGATACGAAAAATACGTTGACTCATGTTGACTCATGTTGATTCATGTTGATTCTCATTGATCCTCAAAGGCACTGAGGCGCACGGTTATAGTCCTAAAGCACAAAGTGCTGAAAACACCAAAATCATCCCGAAGCAGCTGCGTTCTCATGTGTTAGCACAATCCTTCCCAATGGCAAAAACGGATTTCATCAGGTTTCACTGTCTATCGGAGTTTGCCAAGCCGTTTCTATTCATCCCTTTCATGGCAAGCCACATCCTGTATGCTTGAAGTATGTTGAGGTCACTGTCCCTGCATCGAAAGAGTCACCTCTTCTTATTTATTCGAAGCCTTTCAACGCATTCAACAATTCTTTGAGACATGCGCAACGCATGTCCGCAAGCAAAAGGACGTGGGCTCACGCCGCAAAACTGTCGCTGCTCAACGTTGAGTCTGGCGTGTACTATCATCAAATATATCAAATAAGCCATTACCATCTCCGTCATCACCATCATGATCACCACGATCAGATATGGCCATATTTCAATCAAATATCATCAATCGGATTGAAATATGGGCCCACCTTCAAAGACCAAGCCATCGAACTCAAGCTTCACACCGCTGCGAAAGGTGTACTTCGAGGGCACCACCTGGGTTTCAATCTGTCACAGCTCCAGCAAGCTCCCCACCTGGCCCAAAACAGCATTGTTCTCAACAAATGCAGCCACCGTAACCATCAAACCTAATTCCAGGTTGAAATTTGATGTGAACTCGATGTGACAAATTCACTTATTCGGGTTGGACAGACACACACACACACATAATCAAATAACTAACTAACTAACAAAGTAACTAAATCATTAACATTAAACTAACCAACTAACTAACCGACTAACTATATATATATATATGTATGTATGTAATATGTATATATATATATATGTGTGTGTGTCACATATGGCAACATATATCTGATATATTATATATCTGATATCCAATACATATATTCTTGAGGAAGCTCAAAACAAGCTGAACTGTGGGAATGAGGCCATGGCCGAAAAAAGCCACCGCATGGCCCATGGAACCTGTCATATTGAATCGTTGGCCATGCTAGGACTGGGAGGCGGCACAGGTTCCAAAAGGTGGAGTCAAATCAGACAATCACCTTGCTAAAATGCTGATAGATAGACAGACAGACAGACAGATAGACAGACAGATAGATAGAAAGAAAGATAGATAGATAGTTAGATAGAAAAATAGAAAGATATGTATATATATATAATTATATAATCAAATCAAAGTCTGGAAAATTCGGATTCGCCATGTCAATGTGACTCCTGTCGAGGTCACCAAATTGTCACATCTTTCCCTTTTCCATGCGCCTCGTCAGCATGAGCCAGTAAGGTTCCATTGAAGATCATGTTCAGTATCCTGGCAGATGGCCAGCATGGTCAGTATAGCTGGGCGATAGCTGGGCGATAGCTGGGCGATGCCACGATGCCACGATGCCGGCGGCACGTCTGCATCAGAAAGAGCATGATTCCCATGGCGCTGCCACCGCGCAACGTGCCTCAAGCAGTACCGAGTTGGATCACTTGGCTTCGAGCTGCTTCAACTGGCTTCAACCCAAAGCAGCTTCCGATAATTATACAGTTGTATGCAGTTGTAGACAGTGAAGCCTAGCTCATCAAGTCATCTGAGAATAAATGAACAGTGACAACTTGCTGAGTATGACACCGCAAAGCTGTGCGAAGGTGTCATTGAAGCCGATGTAAGCAGCCTGGCTCCGCTGTTCTTCTGGCTGCACAGCTCGGCAGGTTGGAAAGGGTAGTACTGAGAAGCTCCGGCAGAATCAGGAGGATCAAATAATTTCATGTTCAAAACGATGTTTCCCTCCTTAAGAAATAAGATGAAATAAATTGAAATAAGTATAATATAGTGTAACGATCCGAATCCTCGTGTTTTGTCTCTTTCAACCAAGCGGTGTGCCCCCAGGCATCACAGGGCCGTGTCACAAATCAGGTTCCCCCACCAAGAGCAGCCACATTTCCAGCATGTTGGTGGCAGGTGAGTCCTGAAGGCATGACATGGGGTGGAACCAAGTTGTCAAACTGAGTCAAGCTGTCTTTCAGGTGCATTTCTATTCCATTCTGCAAGGCCGCAGCAGCTCCAGAATCAGAATGGATGGGACGATCGCAGCAAGAGCAAGGAGAAACCAAATCGGCACGTTGACCTCTGGCCCAACAACAGACTCTCACGTCATTGAATGTGGGAAGACCAATGCCACAATAACAACAAACTCTCATCCCATGTCTCCAGTGACTTATACACACATACACACACACACATATATATATATACACATGTATGTATAATGTTGTGGGTAATCAAAATATTAAAAATCATACACCAAACAAATTGCTCATCATTGGGGTTGCATTCGGTGTACACCACTATGTGGTTTTGGCTTCTCAAAGTTCTTCAACGGAAGCGGACAAGTATTCACCGGCTTTAGGAGACAGGTTCAATCTCGTATTCATACAACAGTGCATGTGTATAAGTATTACAAGTATGATCGATGCTACACGAACACACTCTGCTATGTTGTACAAAGATGTACAAAGCATTTTCACCAAAAGTCCCCACATCTTTAGGCTCCCTGCCATCAAGTCCGCTGTCAAATGAGCTAAAGGATGATAAAGGCCATTTTTCACCTGTCGGACCAACAGCTTCAGCTGCTGAAAGCGACCAACGTCTCTACTAAACTCGAATGTTTCAAGGCGCTGCACGGTTCGAATTTAGCTCTGACTCTGCAAGGGTTTGCTCTTGTTGACTCTTGGTGATGTGCGTGGGAAAGCGTCTTTTCACATCTACGCACTCTTTGGTCGGACGGTCACCAACCCTTGGCCGGACATTTCAGCCGACATTTTTGTGCACCAAATGCCGGTTTTAAAGTGCATTTCCTGCAAGTTTGCAGAGCATTGAGGTTTTGGCCGTGTTGGACGGTTTGATGGAGGATAACTAGTAACTAGTAAGGGATGGGAATTATATATATATATGGAATTATGGCACCTTCTAACTGGGGAGGTGTAAAACATGTTCAAACGCTTGCAGGCACCTCTGGAGGGCCAGTGTCAACATCTTTGGCTCGGGTAAGTCGTAAACCATGTTGACGTCGCGAGAGCATGATGAGAGCAGTAAAAAATCACTCGCTGATAGATGTGAATGTCACTAGTGAATGTCCCCTATAGAATCATGGAAATAGCATGAAATATGTAGAAATAGGCTAAGGGCCGTTAGTTACCACAAATACCCTGCGAATACGCCGCACTATTTCTTGAGCCATGCACGCAACAGTAAAGAGTGTGAGAAACGCTATATGTACATGTAGACTGTGCAACAACACCCCCCGTGCAGTGTAGGCCTATATACATGGGGTGAAGCTGCAAATTCGTCTAAAGTACATTACGTAAGGGATGCCGTTAACAACATGAACAAACAACCCCAAAAACAAACCCCCCCAGAAACAAGGCCTTCCTTCCAGTGGGTCTTTCACTTCTCACCTCAGGCGTGCGGAAATTGACAACAAGAGCAAAACTGACAAAGCAAGTCGTTCAGTTGGACATCAAGTGCAATGGTCAACGACTGCAACGAATGTCGATTCGGCCGGATGCATTCAGCTTTAATTTTGGCTCTACCAGGCTTGTGGTCGAACATGCAAACGTGTTGAAGTGTGGCCCATTACAAAGGCCAGCGTTTCCACGCGGCATCAAAAGTTCTTGTGGACGCCCGGGGGCATGCCGAAGCAAACAATATGAATTAAAGCAAAATGCTGAATTCGGTTTTGATGTGAACCCGCAGGGAAGCTTTCAGAAATGCTTCAAAGATGCCTTAACTTCGCAAGGCAAGAGCTTCCGCTCTGCGGTTCATGCAACTACCAGCCGTGTGCTATGCAAGAAGGAATCATGGCAAGAATAAGATGAGTGCCAAATGCCTGCTTCAAATTATATGCATTCAAAGCGTTAATGAAACTTTTGTGAACTTGACTAAATTGGCAAAAATTCCGACTTAGCACGCTTGTGTTGGAAATGATGGTGGAATCGCTCACCCACCTGTGCAAAATGAAGCTAGTCGCCTAACCGAATTAAATCCGAAAAGGCAACAGCTTCCGCTGTGCGACACCGTTCATTGAAAGAAACTACCCCGCCTCAGATGAAGATAAATCCACCAGGCGAGAGGTTCCCCTCCGCGGTGCCTCAGCGATAGCCCGACCAACGTCGATCCCGGTATTGGTGGCCTTGATTTCGACGGCGCCAATCTTCCCACTCCTGGTCAGTCCACTGATTGTAGTAGTCGTTCCATTCCTGCTGACTGTAGCCATGGGTGGGCCCCTGATGAGAACCATATCCAGGACGCGAGGACCTGGTGACATCTGGGTTCTGCTGCCTTGTTGAAGGTAGGGGTCGGCTTCCGCCTTCCGTATCCTTTGCCTCCGTGAGGGGGCGCAAGATGTTGTCGACATAGCTGAGAATGTCGGCATACACATCCTGCTTGGACAGCGCAAGGGATTGGAACGTCGTGTTGGCGACGCTCAAGACCTCAAAACGATCGGCCACCGGGATCAAGGCATAGGCGGCCGCGAACTGGTTGGCTCTGTAAAAGCGGTTCTTGTACCAGATGAGTACATGATCATCCACAATGATCGTCTTCATCTGTTCCTCCTCGTATGCGACCATGCACATACGCGCTTTGTACTGCCGAATCTTTCCAGTTCGGATCTCCTCTCGGGTGCGTTTGATGGAGGGAAGCACCACATTGCCCAAAACGGTAATCCAATGCATACACCGAGGTGTAAGGTCTTGGACCGCACAATTGAAGGCGTAGTGGGCGTCCGTTCCCAGACGCTGTAGCAAAGTCAGTCCTGCTTTTCTCGCCTGCTTCATGTATGAGCGGGCGTGATTTTTGAGGACTGCAGCAGCAGATCTGATCTGCTTGGCACCTTGGGTGGTACCTGCTACGTCGTCATCGCCCAGAAGGTCCAACGTCAGCTCGAAGCCCAGCTTCTCGGCCAACTCTTCCAGGCGGAACACCTGACACGCACGACGCATGTCGGACATTGTCGCCAGCGACAAGCCGCATGCGAGGCACACCAACATCCCCTCAGGAAAAATCTTCCTGCACCGGGGGCATGTCAATTCTGGCATTGCCAACATTGAAACATACCGCCAGCGCGTGAGGTTCCCCTCCGCGGAAGGGTCAAATGCCTCCTGATCGAAGCGATCAGAACGGCGTTCCCGCGCGTTGTCAGGGGCGATGTCGAAGCCAGCAGCAGTCGCCGTCGGCTTGCGTGCCACACAGAGGAGATTGGTGAAGTTGAGCGGCCTTTGCTTGATCTTCGGGAGCAACTCATCGACGACAGGATATGGTGTCGGAACTTCCTTGTAAATGAGCGGACGTCGCAGAGTGATGACATCCTTCCACTGATCGTACTCATTCACGAACATGTTCTTCAACACCTCCAGGTCCGAAATCTCGTACCTTTCAAGTTCGTCGTAGTTGGGAGTGCCCTTCCGAGCCTCGTTCTCTTGCCAAGTGAGAGCGTTCTCGGAGGCCTTCTGCCGAAGGTACTTCTTCACCCCGTTGTAGCCATGGTTCGCCCAAAGGTATTGCGACTTCTCGCAATCGAATGCGTAGATGAGGCAATGATTGGGCACCCAGTCCTCAGTGATGAGTGCACCGGCCAAGGTTTCCACCAGGCGAAGACCATAGTGCAGAGCACAATCGGTATCGATCGCGATGCACAGCGGTCGGTTCGTCCTGACACCAGGATCCTTGCCTTCGATTTCCCAAGGCGCATGGCGGGTCATATACACATGACCCTTGCATGAAGTGGCCCCTGGAAAAATCCCCGTGCAAATGATCTGCTGGAGGGAGTCCCATGAAGTGTAATGGTAAATAACCTTGAACTCTTCTGAGACCTCGGCTTCCGCCAGGTGAGGATAAATTGGGACCCTGGGGTAGAATCCCTTCTTCAAGTCCTCAACCGTGAACTGGTAGTCAAGCGAGATGATTTGCTTGACCAATGGAGCCGTTCCCACCTTGTCAATGAGCGACTGGTCATGGCCTTGGCAGGCCTTCACGTGGGTGATGCGGTATGGCATGTCCATGGTTGTCAGTTCCCCGACAATTCCAGCCTGAATGCGGCACATGAACCTGTCCTGAGTTCGAAGAATCAGGTACAGGTCCTGTCGCGAAAGCTGAGCACGATGCCGCTTTCGGAGGTACGTGTACATGGACTCAAAGTTCAAGTACAGCTCCTCATCAAATTCAGGAGGAATATGGCGATGGTGCGCCTCGAGGAATTTGTGATCATATCCACGGAGCAGCCCGGTCACCCTCTTGGAAAATTTAAAATCATCATGACCGAGTCTTCCGAGGTCCCTCAGGCCTGGCAGGTCAGTACACCGGACGGTGAATTCCCTGCGCTCGCCCGTTCCCGGGGAGAAGAAGTACCACTTGGGATATCCATGTGGTCGCAAGGGCGGTTCAGCCGGAGGCTGAGGTCCACCCGTTCCCGGGGGAGGAGCACTTGCCATAGGCGGCTCCTTCTTGGCCATCTTCGGGGCAGGCTCCGACGAAGACGTAGCTGCAGGCGCCGATGACTTCTGCGGAGGTGCCCTCGGTGAGGTTGTTGTCAACGTTGCAGGCGGTGCCTTGAAAGGCAAAGCTTTGGGCATAGGATGGTCCGCAGCTTCCGCTGGGAGTGCAGGTGGCTCCGGCTTGGGGGATCCAGTTGCACTCTTCGGAGTCGGTGGCGGACTGGGCTTTGGGGACGCCATGGGAGACGTTCCCGTCGCCGTTGAAACCTTTGGGAGCCGTGGAGCAGGCTTGGGCTGAATCATGGTAGCCTGATCCCTCATCTTGGGTTTGATGAATTGGCTGACAGTGTCCCCGATCACCTGTGCGATGCCGCCCGAAGATGATGCCGCTTCGGATGAGGAAGCCGCCTTCGACTTGGCCTTCGACATGATCTGGACAGTGGCAGCAGGGTCACCCGCGCGAAGTTTCTCCTCGGCGGTCTTGGGCTCCTCAAAGATCTCCCGTTCCATCTGACGATGCTTCTCCTCATCCGTCAAATCAAAGCGACGAATGATGACTGCACCACTCTCAGTCTGCTGCATGGATTCCTGCCGAAGTTCGAGCTTGGCAGGATCACGTGTGACGTCGGTGTCCAAGATGTTCACTACGCCAGAACCATCCAATTTGAAGTCCACAGCATGGATCTTGTTCATCAGATGGGAGCGCAGCTTCCGCTGGCTAAACATTGATGCTGAGCCGCCGACGATGGGTTCTCTGAAGACAATCTCCTCGTCAGCGTCCGGCTCGTCAATGTCACGCTCGTCGGAAACACCTGGCAACCGATCCAAGAAGGGCTTGAGGATGGCGTCAATGAGCTCACCATCCATCTCCGGCTCTTTGACCTCATGCGGTTCAAAGTGCTCGGGTTCCCCCGGCAGTGCAGCATCCACGGACTCCAAAAGCTGCCAGTTCGATGAGGCCACAGTGGCATCATCCTGCACCGTAGGAGCCTGTGCGACTTGTGCACGTGCGGGGTCAACTTCATTCGGAAGCCGTTGCCCTTTGGGTCGGGTCTCCTTCACATAGATTTCCCAACCGTCCACGTCCATGGAGACCAACACTTCTTCCATCTCTTCC